TACATTTCCCATTCATTCCCAAACAGGACTCAAAACATATTTTACTAATATTCCAGCTGCACATTAAACCTATCAAACCAAAGGTGCGAGCAAATAACACTACACTGCACTACACTAAACCCAGTTTAGAGACACTGCAATCAATTTACCACTGGGCACGCACTGCAAACAGTTCTGGTCTCAGCACAGCTGGGAATATGCGGTATGCGTAACCTGCAGTCTGGATTTATAAAAGGGAAGTGGCACAAATTAATAAACGAAAAGATAAAAACGAGAGAGGTTAGTCCGCCCTTCATTCATAACAGTCTTTACGGCTGGACGGACTAACCAAAGGAAATTACAAATCAACCAAAAAGAAACATTAACTGCAGAGGCATCACAACAACAGAATATTGATCGCGCGCTGTCGATCAGCTTGAACACCATTAAAACGTCACACGAACAACATACCCACTCGCACCAGAGTGAGTTAATTGTCTCTGGAACTTCCTCACCGAGGAGCGCTGACCTCACCTCACACACCTATTAACTTTCAAAGTTCCTCTGCCAATCACACAGCAGAAAGCAGCAAACTGCCAGGTGACACTTGTTCCAAGTAGAAACTCTACGCCGCCTATAGGTGATACTCGTAAACTACAGCTTCCACTTTGGGTATTTTTTTTCTCTTTACCGAGGAAAATGAAAGCGGCTGCCACGTGAGTGAAGAATGGGCGTAGGTATGAATGAGCAGGTGTATTTACCTTGGTTCATTGCATCATTGCGTCATTTCATGTGGCCTGCATTTAGCTTTTTTAGCAGTTTCTTCATTATTAAGCAGCTTGCACTTCTGCTGTACTTGTAAATCAGTTGTGATGTATTTGTGTTAACCTCATGTAACCGGTAGTGGAGGTCAAACCAGGAGTATTTATCTGCTCCGATTCTGAATGAGTCTGAAATAATAATAACTGAAAAAAGCCCCCCTCAGCAAAACAAAACAAACAAACAAGAAAAGCAATCCAGCACATGTAGTACTTGCAATGACGTTATCGTTAACATATATCTGACCTGTGATCTGATCACTTTTGTTTCATCACCTGTTCATGCATGTGGGTCCACCGTCTGCCTGCCACATGCCCGTTTCTTGACAATAATAGATGAAAATGTCCTCAAAGCAGCATTAATATCCCTGTAACACGTTACCTGTTTAGTATCAAAACGTAAGCCTATACACGATTTGGTTACAAATGAAATCATCAGTCGTGAGTTGAGTTTGTCGTCATGTTTCTTAGGTGTTCAAATGGATGTGTATGTCCACGAATCCTCATAATGAGGTCAAACCCTCATACATCATGATATCTTATCTTCTTTAAGATATATTGTTAAGTGTGGGATTTTTTTTTATAGACGGAAATTTAAATCCCACGTGTACGACAGTACAGCTTGTTGTACCTGCGGGTTTCCCAGGTATATAGAAAATGAAATATTTTCGCTCTGCTATAAATGCGGCGCTGCAGGTCTGCTCCATCAGAACACCGGGAGACATCCGAGTTTGCTTCATACAAAGGAAGTTTATACCTTTAAAAAAATGATGAACAGGATTCTCTTTGCTTGCCTGTTTCTCACTCTGTCCACTGAAAGCTCCTCGCTAAGCTGCAGATGGATGGATCATAAATTCAGACAGCACAACGAAGAAACTCTGAATCTGCTTGATACCATGGTGAGTGTTTTAATGTTTTAATATTAGTTGATTCGTTATTTAAATAGTTTTAGAATTATTTCACTTGAGCATCTGATGACTAAAACATTCAATGTGTTGCAGGCTAAAAACGCCAGTAACACCACTGAAGTGGAGGTCACTGTGGCCTTCCCTAATCACCTGTACCACCAGGTGTCCAAATCATCAGTAAGTGGACCTCAGCTTTTGCCTATTTATAGAAAAAAACATAATTTTCCCTTAGGACAGATTAATTTTGTCTTTTAAATCCACTCTTATTATTATTGAAGCATTTCTAAAGTGGTCTGTATTTGATCTTCTTCTTCTTCCAGGCTGAGGATAAACTGGCTTTCACAGTTCAGATTCTGGAGGAGGTGGCTGCCCTGTTTGAGGAGGATCACAGCTCTGCATCATGGGAGGACAGCACAGTGAGGAACTTGCTCAATATTGTCAACAAACAGGCTGAAGAGCTTCACTCCTGTGTAAGTTCACTTTCAGTTAGGTTTTTATTACATTCGAATATGATACTTTACATGACATGACATATTCTTAATTGTCATTTTGCTTGTAATTAAATTAGATTGGGAGCCACAGTCACAAGAAGAAAACCACAAAGCTGCACATGTACTTTAAGAGACTCTCACATCATATCCTAAAGGAAATGGTAAGATCACATCATTCTCATTAATTTGGGGTTTAGATCATCCTTAAGATAAATAGATATAATAACTTGTTTCAATAACAATAAGAATACTAATATTGGTATTTCTGTAGGGTCACAGTGCTGAAGCCTGGGAGGTGATCAGGAAAGAAACCAAAGCCCATCTAATGAGAGCAGAACAGCTGGCTTCATCTCTGCACACGGCCCAATAAAACCTGTCTCTTGTCATGTCTGTAATGACGGCTGTGTTAATTTAATTGCTTGTCTATTTATTTTATTTATTTATTTATTTATTTAGTTACTTGGTTATTTGTATATTTTTGTTTTGATTGTTTTTCTATGCTGATGAAGATTTAGGAATATTTTTTTATCTTTATAATGAGCAAAATGAAAATTTTGTAAAATATATTTTACCAAATAAAAGAGTCTATCTTCTTACAAAGTGAATTTATTGTTTATATTACTTTTTAATATCAAAATGGTGAACTTGTAAGTTCCTTTAACCAGATTTCGATTGCAATTAAACTAAAAAATGAAAAACAAAACTCCACAGTGCTTGGAAGTTCACGAAAGTGGAATGAAAGTGTTCTTTAATGGGTTAAAAGGAAAGCCCATAATATAAGATGTAACTCTTCTGTCACTTAATCAATAAATTGACACGATTAAGACAGTTATTTCATGATGAAATAAACAAAAACGTGGGTAATGTTTTTCCAGCCTTTCTGTTTTACATTGATCCAGTTTGGGCCAAATTTTAACTGATGGCCTCACATTTGGAATATTTTGACATAGAGAGGAGTTCATGGTCTCCTCAGGGACTACAAGTTGTTCACGTCTTATGGCTGCAAAACAAGTCCTCTTGTATCTGCGCTAATATACTTAATTTCAGATGTGGTGCTGTGAAGTTTACTTTTTGTTAAATAATTATAAATACTGTCGTCTAAGCTTCCACTTAAATTATTTTACAACCTGAAAATGACCAAATTATTTATTTATTCTTTTATTTATTTTTAATGCTCGAATATGGAAAAACTTAGAATTGAAGAAGTATGTACCATTTTTCAGTTCTTTTATGCATGATATAGGTATATTTGTATAGGCATTGTGCTCATGTACTGCATCATCACCCCACTTTGTGTGGGGTGGCTGAGGCTCAGGTGGTAGAACAGATCAGCTACTGATCGGAAGGTTGGTGGTTCGATCCTTGGCTTCCCCAGTCTGGATGCCTTGGGCAAGATACTAACCCTGAGTTGCATTCATCGGAGTATGAATGTGTGTGAATGTAGTTTAGGTTGCACTTGAAGTGCTTGTATGAGTGGGTGTGAATGGGTGAATGAGGCATGTTGTATAGAGCGCTTTGAGTACCCCGGGAGAGTAGAAAAGTGCTATATAAGAATCAGTCCATTTACCAGATCAGGGGTGGTACCTCTGAGGTGGCAGTTAGTCGAACCTTGGACAATGCAGTTTACATCCTGATGGTGGAACACTGGACCAGCTCTTTATCCTCTTGAGGATACTTGAGGGTGCTTGGGAGTTTGTCCAGCCAGTCTACATGGGCTTTGTGGACCCGGAGAAGGCACTCGACCATGTCCGTCAGAGTGTCTTGTGGAAGGTACTTCAGGAGTATGGGCTGTTTGGCCCATTGCTATGGACCACTCAATTCTCATACAACCATTTCAGGAGCTTGGTCCGCATAGCCAGCAATGAGCAATAAGTCAGACTGGTTTCCGGTGGGTGATGGATTCCACCAGGGCCGCCCTTGTCACCGGTTCTGTTCATAATTTGTATTTAGAGAATTTCTAGGTGTAGCCAAGTGGCAGAAGGCTCAGATGTTCTCTGAATCTCAGCTCTGCATTTCGTATATGATGTTGTTCTATTGCCTTCATCGGCTGATGACCTCCAGCTCGCACTGGAATGCTGCACAGCCAAATGTAATGAAGTAAATGAGAATAGCACCTCCAAATCTAAGGCCATGGTGCTCAGCCAGAAAAGGGTGGACTGTCCACTCGTGATCAGGGATGAGTTTGTGCCCCGAGTGGAGGAGTTTAAGTATCTTGGGGTCCTGTTCACGAGTGATGGGAGAAGGGGGAAGGACATTGACAGACAGATCAGTGCTGCGGCTGCTGTACTGGTCCATCAGGGTGAAGAGAGAGCTGAGTGTAAAGGCAAAGCTCTCAGTTTACTCGTCATACTTTATAAACCAAAAGAAACCAAACCAAAGAAAGTCTCTAAAGTGGTCTTGGTGCTCATACTCACTCCACATGAGGTATCAGTACTTCTACTTTCTATGTTATAAGAGCTTTTGTGAAGAATCAAAACAATCTTTCTATATAAATCTGGACAATGTGTCTAATGTTTGATTGCACTCATTAAAAATAAGTGCATAACCCTTATTCTTAATATTTCAGGAACAGAAAAGTCAACAATTTCAATTTGTGTGATAAGAAAATATTTATTGACTTTAACATATCAAATAATATGTCTAGTTTATTTTATGGAAAATGTTCAGAAATCTAATAAATAAATGAATAAATAATACACAAATACTAAAAATAAATAATAGTGTCAATATTATGAATACAATAAATAAATTAAACCAATTAAGAAATACAAATACATTTTAAAAATTTATCCGAAAGACGAGTTTTAGTGGGCATTTCCCAGAGAGTTAACCAGGAATGCGCATTGACTCAGATGATCTTCTGTTATGTTCCTGATCGTCTCCCAGGCTTCAGCACTGTAACCCTACAGACAAAACAATATTATCATTATTAAAATACCAGCGGTGTAAAATCTGTCATAGCTAAATACTAAATACAGGCTCAGTAAAAAAAAATAATGCAGGCTTACATTTTTCTTTAGGATTTCATTTGAGAGTCTCTTGAAATACATTTCTGTCCGCCGTTGCACCTTCTGTGTCGTGTAACTGTGGCTTCCAATCTAAATAAATCAAGAGAAATAAAACAAAATATATTTAAATAAATCATTCACCACTTTAACTTATTCACAGTTGTCAGGTCTTTTACACAAGAGAGACTGAATCCATTGTAAAATTACAAAAACAAATGAAAGTGAACTTACACAAGAGCGAAGCTCTTCAGCCTGTTTGTTCACAATATTGAGAAAGTTCTCCACTGTGTTCTCCTCCCATGAGGCAGAGCTGTGATCCTCCTCAAACAGGGCAGCCACCTCCTCCAGAATCTGAACTATGAAAGCCAGTTTATCCTCATCCTAGAAGAAGAAGAAGACGAAGATGAAGAAGAAGAGATCATACTTCTTTAAAACTTCAAGATGGCTGAATAGTCAAAGAACAAGAATTCACACAGCTATGAGAAATTTCCCAGGGACCGAAAATCTTTGTTTGCACAGGAACAAATGTTTGAAAATAACATTGTTGTGTTTTGTCTTTGAATTATACATTTTTATGCACAGGAGTTATGACAGAGTCGTGATAAGAGACAACTCCCTTGGCTCTGTGGGAGAGAATCCCTTTGACCCTTTCATAGCTGAACAGTCTATATATAGGTAAAGACAAACTTTTGTGGATTTGCAATCACGACACTTTCCATTCTTTCATTAAAAAAGAAACAACTTTATGTAAAAAGCTGGGGATGACTTACTGTTGCTTTGGACTTCTGGTGATACAGTTGATTAGGGAAAGCCACTGTGTGCTCAATTTCAGCATCCTTAGTGGTGTTAGTAATCTGCATCACACACAAAACACGCACACACATCATATCCATGGAACTAATCAAACTATATAAATCAATACCATGTTAAACATTATGCAAAGAAGTGCACTCACCATCATATCAAGGAAACCCAAAGCTCTGTTGTTGTACACATGGAATTGATGGTTTATGTCGTCTTGATCTTTTACAATCCATTTGCAACCTAGCAAAGAGCCCGTACTGTACATCCCGAGAAACAGGCAAGCGATGAAAATCCTGCTGATCATTTTTGAAAAATGTAGAAATTTCCTTAGTGTGAAGCAAATTCTCAGGTCTCCTGGTGTTCTGATGGAGCAAACCTCAGGCGCTTCATTTATAGCAAAGCCCAAGGACACACCTATTTCATTTTCTAATCAGCTGGATAATCGTCTCAAAAGTAAAAACATAGCAGATTTATGTCATCCTTTTAAGATTTAATATCTGTTCTTTCATTTATAGAGAGTGCAAGATTTCGTTTTCTAACTCTATCAAGTAGAAACTAGAAAAACGTGAACCAGAAAAAAGATTTATGTCATTATTTTTTTTAGCTTGTGTTTGTGGGTTTTTTGTTGTTGTTGTTGTTTTATGATAATTGTGTCATATAAAGACAGTGTTGTACAAAAATTGGCTATGATATAACAAAAACTGAGGCAGCAGCACCATGAGATGACGTCAAGTTACCACATAAAAGCATAAAAACACAAATCTCCACCTCTATGTCAATCTCTTAATACTTGCGATTAACATGAAACCTTTAGGCGATTTTAAAGTAAACGTAGAACAACAGTCGTTTAATTAGTTTAATTAGTTTAAATGTAATTTAATTACCGTCAAGTAAAAGTTTATTTATCCAAAATCTGTTTTTACTTCTTGATTTTAATCTTGGAAAATTGAAGATAGGAGATTTACAGCAATGTTTTTCAGGGAGTCTTTACTTTCTTGGCAGTTTGCAAGACATTAATGTAGCTAAAATAAAAAAAATAAAAATTAGTTTTAGTTTTTTAACCTTCAGCTGGTTTCAAGTAAACCTCGGATAATGGTCGTTTAATATATGTGTATTTTAATTACCGTCATGTAAAAGTATATTCATCTCAATTCTTTCTTACATTATTTTATCTTGGAAAATTGAAGGTTGGAGATTTACAGTAATTATTTTCAGGCAGTAGTATTCACCTTCTTTGCGGGTTGCAAGCAGTAGCGGTTTTTGATATCAGCATCGTGGTGGGGGGCGGATTGCTGGGAGTAAGGGCGCCCTCCGTTTGCGAGGTGCGCCTGCTTCTTGTGGCACAGGGAGGAGAGGGCGGGGCGGCGGGGGATTCTTTGGCTGGTTGGATAGCATCTAATAACCAACTCGCAAAAATAAAACAATAAAAAAACCAACAAACACCAAACACGAGACATCATGATACTGACTTAGAATTTGCACCGATGTTTTTTCGAAATTCTATACGCGAAAAGTGAGCGCGAGAGCCCTCGGTGCGCCTGCTTGCTGCTGAAGTCAAAGTAAACTTTATTGTCATCTCCGCTATATACAGTCCAGTATATAGGGAGACGAAACGCCGAGCCTCCAGTTACAGCAGTGCAAGTAAACGAACAACAAATATAAGAAGAGTAAGAAAATAAATACACACTTTAGGACTCGGGGTAAAGGGATCAATAACAATTTAAAATTTATAATTTACAGTTTGATGATCTGTCTGTGAAGGTTCTCAGTCATCCAGGTCATCGTAGTCAAAGGAGCTTGCAAAGAAAAGCGTCTGGACTTCTTTAAGTTACTTCAAGACGTTTCACCTCTCATCCGAGAAGCTTCTTCAGTTCTAAGGTCAAATGGTGGAGAGTCCCAGATATTAGTGGGAGTATCCGCCCACAGAGGGACAAAAGGACCCCCTGATGATCCTCTAATCGTCTGAGCCAAGGTGTGAAACTGGGTGTGGGTCCCAATCAGCCAGAGTTTCGGGTGAGTTCATTGTGAAACCTGGCCGTAAACCACCGCCTCTGTTCAAAGATGGTCGCTCACAGTGGACATATATGGCTTCTTTCACTCCTCTTTCAAACCATCTGTCCTCTCTGTCCAAAATGTGAACATTGGCATCCTCGAAAGAGTGTCCTTTATCCTTAAGATGCAGATGGACTGCTGAGTCTTGTCCTGTGGAGGTGGCTCTTCTGTGTTGTGCCATGCGCTTGTGAAGTGGCTGTTTGGTCTCTCTTCGATAATCTTTAATCCTACAACTTGCATAGTTCCCATTTCTGTATAACTGTATATCTCAGATTCTGTAAAGTTATTTATTTCATATTCTGTATAGTTTTTCATATTTATATCCTGTTCATAGCCTGTACATAGCTTGTACTCACTACAGCCTGTACACACAGCCTGTCGACAGGGGAGGGGGGCCGGCTGCTTCCAAATAGAGCACATTTCATTCATAAAGATGTAAATCCAAGCCCATATGTATTCATGATTTGAATCCTGGGTTGTGTGAAATCCCAGAAATACACCTTAGACAAAGTGAATCTGTGAACTAGGTGTAGGTCTATTAGGTTATATTGTGGCGATCGTTGAGTTGGGGAATTTGTGTTCATACTGGAGTGCAAAATTAAAACCAATGGAAGATGGACAAGAACAGTTCAAAGCCATCAGGTGCTCAGTTTAGAAAAAATAGAAAAGAAGAGGAGGAGAAACGAGCAAAAGATACAGGTAAGCAGATGTGTCATTGGATAATGGCAGGTCATCCTGAAACAATCAGAATCAGAATACTTCATTAATCCCTAAGGAAATAATGTGGGTTACAGTTGCTCCAAAGAGAAATGGTAAAAATAGTAACAGTAACAGACTAAACTCCAAACAATACATTATGTTACAGATTTTAATATTAATTAGTCATTGTCAATTGTTGATTCGTCCTGTTCTCATTGTATGACGAATTATGATGGCTGTTTGGTAGCCGTTTGCATACAATGCATACACTCTCTCTCTTCATATGTGTGTATGTGTGTTTCTCTGGTGAAATTCAGTATGGTTCCGTCCAACAGTTTTATGTTAATGTACAATTCTTAATATTTTTTTGTGTGTGTGTGTGTGGGGGGGGGGGGGCTCCAGAGGGAGTGTTCGCCCGGGGCGCCAAACAGGCTAGGACCGCCACTGGTTGCAAGACATTAATGGCAGTTTAAAAAAGAATGTTAAAAAATGAAAACAGTCAACGTCGAACACATTTCGTTACTTATGATGAAATAAAATGAAAGCGGATGTGCGCCAAACGTCAGTGACGCTCCTTACGCACGTTTGCTTTCATTTAGGGTTGTAGGGTTGATTACAGGAATGAAGAAAAGAGTATAGAGTGATTTAAGTTTATGTTTTTTCAGGTTCTGAAATATATAAAAAGCCAAATATACAGGTCATATAAGTTGCAGAGTGTGTTATGAAAAGTCTTTAGCAGGGCAGGAGCTGTGAACGGAGAACAGAAAGTCTGTGGCGTCTACAACAATATGTAACAGAGCACTAAGGTGTCAAATAAAATGTCAAAGAGATAAATGTATAATTTATTTATTTATTCCATCAATTAAACATACATTTCCCATTCATTCCCAAACAGGACTCAAAACATATTTTACTAATATTCCAGCTGCACATTAAACCTATCAAACCAAAGGTGCGAGCAAATAACACTACACTGCACTACACTAAACCCAGTTTAGAGACACTGCAATCAATTTATCACTGGGCACGCACTGCAAACAGTTCTGGTCTCAGCACAGCTGGGAATATGCGGTATGCGTAACCTGCAGTCTGGATTTATAAAAGGGAAGTGGCACAAATTAATAAACGAAAGGATAAAGATAACAACGAGAGAGGTTAGTCCGCCCTTCATTCATAACAGTCTTTACGGCTGGACGGACTAACCAAAGGAAATTACAAATCAACCAAAAGAACAACTAAAAATTAACTGCAGAGGAATCACAACAACAGAATATTGATCGCGCGCTGTCGATCTACAGCTTGAACACCATTAAAACTTGTCGTCACACGAACAACATACCCACTCGCATCAGAGTGAGTTAATTGTCTCTGGAACTTCCTCACCGAGGAGCGCTGACCTCACCTCACACACCTATTAACTTTCAAAGTTCCTCTGCCAATCACACGGCAGAAAGCAGCAAACTGCCAGGTGACACTTGTTCCAAGTAGAAACTCTACGCCGCCTATAGGTGATACTCGTAAACTACAGCTTCCACTTTGGGTATTTTTTTTCTCTTTACCGAGGAAAATGAAAGCGGCTGCCACGTGAGTGAAGAATGGGCGCAGGTATGAATGAGCAGGTGTATTTACCTTGGTTCATTGCATCATTGCGTCATTTCATGTGGCCTGCATTTAGCTTTTTTAGCAGTTTCTTCATTATTAAACAGCTTGCACTTCTGCTGTAAATCAGTTGTGATGTATTTGTGTTAACCTCATGTAACCGGTAGTGGAGGTCAAACCAGGAGTATTTATCTGCTCCGATTCTGAATGAGTCTGAAATAATAATAACTGAAAAAAGCCCCCCTCAGCAAAACAAAACAAACAAACAAGAAAAGCAATCCAGCACATGTAGTACTTGCAATGACGTTATCGTTAACATATATCTGACCTGTGATCTGATCACTTTTGTTTCATCACCTGTTCATGCATGTGGGTCCACCGTCTGCCTGCCACATGCCCGTTTCTTGACAATAATAGATGAAAATGTCCTCAAAGCAGCATTAATATCCCTGTAACACGTTACCTGTTTAGTATCAAAACGTAAGCCTATACACGATTTGGTTACAAATGAAATCATCAGTCGTGAGTTGAGTTTGTCGTCATGTTTCTTAGGTGTTCAAATGGATGTGTATGTCCACGAATCCTCATAATGAGGTCAAACCCTCATACATCATGATATCTTATCTTCTTTAAGATATATTGTTAAGTGTGGGATTTTTTTTTCTATAGACGGAAATTTAAATCCCACGTGTACGACATTACAGCTTGTTGTACCTGCGGGTTTCCCAGGTATATAGAAAATGAAATATTTTCGCTCTGCTATAAATGCGGCGCTGCAGGTCTGCTCCATCAGAACACCGGGAGACATCCGAGTTTGCTTCATACAAAGGAAGTTTATACCTTTAAAAAAATGATGAACAGGATTCTCTTTGCTTGCCTGTTTCTCACTCTGTCCACTGAAAGCTCCTCGCTAAGCTGCAGATGGATGGATCATAAATTCAGACAGCACAACGA